CAGTCCCACGCTTCTCCCGAAAGTTCTTTGTTCGCCATGACACACATAACGCATAACGACGATTTCCTCGCCTGTGCCCCTTTCAAATCAAAATGATGCCACCCCCCCACCCTTCCTAAAAAAATGTCTGCCGCCACCCCGTCTTATGTAGTGTAGTATACTCATGTGATGCGGAAGGTATGGGAGGATAACTGATTGATTGATTGATTGATATGTGGGGTTTAACGTCCGAAAACCACCATATGATTATGAGAGACGCCGTAGTGGAGGGCTCCGGTAATTTTGACCACCTGGGGTTCTTTAACGTGCACCCAAATCTGAGCACACGGGCCTACAACATTTCCGCCTCCATCGGAAATGCAGCCGCCGCAGCCGGGATTTGAACCCGCGACCTACGGGTCAGCAGCCGAGCACCTTAGCCACTAGACCACCGCGGCGGGGCAAGGGAGGATAACTGAGGATAACTCAAGAAGGAAGACAATGGTGAAAGGGTATGCCATAGCACACACATGTATTGTATATAGTTTAAGAATAGCAAGGAGAGATGAACAAATGCGGTTGAAGATGGATGTGAGGGTTAGATGGAGAGAAAGAAGAAGAGGGCAACAAATAGAAAAAAAAAACAATGAAAGATGTTGTTATGGAAAATACGAGAAAAGAGAACAACTTGTAAAATGAGACTAAGAGATTGCATTGAGAAAAAAATAATATAGGCGAACGAAGGACTGCATCTGCGTTCTCCAGGTGGTGGCGTTTGCGTGCTAGCTTTGAGGGGAAGTGGAGCCGAGGAAAGGTCAAGGAGAGCCTTTGAAAAGCCAAGCGAAGCGCAGAAAACGTAATTTGAGTCTACCCGGGTCAAGCCTAGTGCAGTATATCCAAGAAGAGCCTACATTACCAAGCAAAGCCACCCACCTCACAGTTCCTTCAAAATTGGCACCACTATAATGCAAAGTTTTCAGTTTCAGGCCACAGTCCACCAACACTTCACTGCCGTATTTCGGTCACAGATATGGCGTCCGTCAAATACGCACATATGGATGAGAATGACAGAAAGTAGATGAAAACTTTGCACCTCCGCATATCTAACCCAAAACCTCTCGGTCCACGACGAAAGGCAACTGGCACTCTACTATACGCTACCGGCGCGCATGTCCGAGGCCACTAGAACGCGCCCTATATCTCTCACTCAATTTCTATCGCACGAGGCTCTGTGATGGAAAGACTAAGCCTCACCGCACGAAACGTCCGGGTAGCCTGAGCCCGGGCCGGTAAGCTTGCAGGGTTTTTTTGTTGTTTTATTGTAATAGCAATTATATGGACACTCTTGGTTGGTTTTTGCCGCCGGCGTCGGCGTCATGCACCGTATATGTAAACGCATCTATCTATCTATCTATCTATCTATCTATCTATCTATCTATCTATCTATCTATCTATCTATCTATCTATCTATCTATCTATCTATATATATATATATATATATATATATATATATATATATATATATATATATATATATATATATATATGACAACTCAAGACAGAAAGCCGCCCGTGCCTGGCATCCAGCTCGTCGCGATGCGCCGATGCGCGCTTATTTCCCGCGCGTACTTTGCCCCGCAAATGGGGGGGGGGGGCAAAGTACTAGTGGGAGATAAGAAGATTGTGCGCACGCGCTTATCATCGGTTGCGCTGGTTAACTGGTTGCGCAACTGTCACTTCGCTCACTGGACAAACGCAGTTTGCGAACAGTGTGTGCTTTTCAAACACAGCGAAGTAACAACTGGGACACATGTTAGTTCGCACTCATCTGTATATATGTCATTACGTTCGGTGCGTCGTTTTTGTTTTAACAGCGCATTAAGTGTCGGTAAACGTTGTTAGTTCGCTCTCGTCCTGTGTGTGTTGTCTTCGTGCGTCATTTGTGCATGTGCAGCGAACTGCACGTTTTGATCTGCTTATTGTTCTCAGTGTTACAGTCCAAGTTGTTGCTATCGCATTCATTACTTCGTCCTTTCGGCGAAACTGTGACTTTTTTTCAATATAATTTTTTCTGTCCATCCATCAATGTTTGCGGAACAAGACGGCGTGGGGTGGTGCCACCGTCTGCGAGCTGCGGTGAAGTGCTGCGCCTTGACTAACGAGCATCTATAGGGAGTGATTTGATGACGAACCAGTTAGAGTGTCGCAAGGCTAGCGGAGAAAGCTGGGTACGCCAGCATCAAGGAGTCGCACTGGGCACAGTTACGTTTTAAAGCGAAAGTTATTATCAGATCACAACTCGGGTCACGCGTAGTTCCCTAGTTACCTAAGAGGGGTGGGCGCCAAGCTAGCCCCACACATCGATGTAATGGGAGGGGAGTGCTGCGTCTGGTGCGAGGCGTGGAGGAAGTGCAAGGTGAACTTGATACATTGACATAACAAGGAACAATGCGCTGCGACGAACGTTCACCTCCTCCCCCTAAAGGGGGAACCCTGCGCACGTCAATGCTGCTACCTAAAGGTATATAACTATATCATATACAGTAGCTCTAACGCGCAGCAAAGGTTCATGTATTGTGGCTAGACGTCACCGCAGATTCATGTACAACGCTGCGCGAGGCGAGTCACGTTGACCCTTTGACGGCCATTTGCGTATATACGAGGCAAGCCTTACTCGTCCGTCACGGCAATGAATAGGCAACGAGTAAATTGCCTCCGTTAATGTGCGACATTGTTTTTCGAAGCAAAGTGCTCACGGAAAGCGCGCGTGCTAAGGTCACTTCGCATGCGTGCTGGAGCTCGGCTTACGCATGGGTGCTGGCACACTTTCCGACTAGAGAGCGGTAAGATGTTTATCACCAAGGGATAGGCGCCAGGGCTAAGAAATGGCGCGAAATATTTGCCAGTGGGTCACGATAAAAAAAAAACGCTAAAGTGTGGGAACGCTGTTTTGGTTGCCAGAGCTACTGCCCCAACGATATTATACGGCTACGGCCGGCGTGCGCGCTCTGGCGTGGAAAGTCTAGCATGGTACATACATATATATACACAGACATACTCGCGCTGTTGTGAGCCACAGGGTCACAGATGACTGCGCGCACTCGGCGTCAACATGGCACCGATTATTAGCGACGCTCTGTACGGTCACGTATTTCCGGCCTATCTGCCAGAACGTGAACGAAAGTTGCAGCCAAGCTGAAATTAAAGAACGCAGACATATTACGCGAAAAAAATAAAATAATGCAAAAAGTTCGAAGCGAGGTATATACCGAGCAACTTCGCAAGCAAGGTACAACGTTTTACTCATAGGATCGCCTTCCCTCATACGCTTTTGCAGACTTTTGCGCGCGTTATACCCGTAGTGTAGGCGCTGTGAAAGTGTCGACGCAAACTGAAGTCCGCGAAGAGGAGTAGGGAAAAAATATATAGCCATAATAATTTGCCAAAAGAGTGCCAAAACGCTTCAAACTAGAGATATCTTGCTCCGAGGCGCAGTCACAGAAGCGTGAACAGAAACAGCTATGGCGGAATATCCGAATAAACAAAAAACATATGGTAAAAAATGAGTGCCTGAATACTAGCACACGGAAGATGAGCGAAATAATAATAATAATAAAAAAGGGCTCGGTACAGAGGAGGGCCCTCAAATATGAATAAATGTAATGTGCGTAAATGTCCGCAAGGGCTATGGCTAGGACCATGCGTCGTGATCCAGGCAGTCTGGCGAAGCGAGTTCACGTTTGGACACGGTCGCTGTACCACGATGCGCCGAGTTACGGTGTACGCGGCCGCGTAACGCGTCACGAGGCAATTGATGACCCGCGCATGTAGGTCAGCTGTGTGCGCTCGGCCGAACCGGCGATCGGATTCGACACACGCTCGCACCCCTTTCGGCCGAAAGGGGTGGCGGTGGTGGCCGGCCGCCAGTCCAGGGGGTTTGGGGTGGGCGCATCGCAAACACTTTTGTCTTTTCACGTCGATGCGTTGGTGAGAGGCACCTAGCGTATACACACCCAACGCACGAAAATGTCCGAACCCGATTAGAGTGAGTCGGCGTTCAGGTTTATCTATCCCGATCGCTCGCTAACACCATCGATTGACAACGGCTGCACCCGAAAAACGATTACTCTCATTTAAGGTGCGCGTAAGCCTCCGATGCAAAGAACCACCAACGTGACTAAATGAGTAAAACGCCAGTGATCTAGTGTTCGATGGCATAGGTGGTTGCCAAGAGGAGCCGTCCAGGTATTTCGATGCATAGTTTCTCTCATGCTGTGTAGTGGAGGGCTTATGACTGGTATGAGAGTAATCACAGTGAGGACAGCTTTTACAACTTTTGCTAGATTGTGCTGCAATTCACCCCTCCAATATCCTGTTTCCGCAAACACTTGGCAATAGTGTTTTGTGTATAGGTAGAGGTATACTTGCAACGCAAACCAGCCGCTGCGACTTTGGTGCTTGAGCGCTCACCCGAAGGTTACGGGATCGAATCCCGGCCGCGATGGCCGCACTGTCAGTGGAGGCAAAACGACTCGAGACTCAAGTACTGAAATTTAGGTGCACGTTAAGGAATCCTACCTGGTGTAAATTTCCGGAGCCCTCCCCTACGGCGTTTCTCAAAATCATATCGTGGTTTTGGGACAACTAGAATTAACTTGATATACAATATCAGTGCATTAGATGCTGTACCATAAATATGTCATATTCTAGTTTTACTACGACCTTCTTATAGGGCGCCATTTCTGTTGCCGTCTACACAAGCGTGTGCGGGAACATCTTGTTACCTACCTGTTTTGAACAGCTCAGTCAACCACTCTTCTTATTCCCCGTGGTAACGGGTATTCTTTATGTGTGTGTGCGTGTGCGTGTGCGTGTGCGTGCATGTGCGTGCGTGTGTGTGTGTGTGTGTGTGTGTGTGTGTGTGTGTGAACCGATAACGAGTAGTGAGATTTTACCCATTGTGACGTTGGTCAGGTGGTAAACGTGCCGGCGCGCGCTTCAAACGTGACTTTTTTGATCCCTCATTCGGACACAGCTGTAAGGTATGCGACCACTCGTGGTTTGACAACAGCCTCACCCCTATCGCCTCCATCCGCAACGATCAGTTCCGCGCCATCGCCGTGCTTGAACGAGAGTTTACTCTTGTGCAGTGCCTTAGGCGGAATGTGCCCGACGAGGCCACCTTCGACGTACACCCGAAGTGCCGGCTCGTTAACGAGCCATCCTATAAGAAGGGCCTCGTCAAGAGGAATCATGGGTCTTCCAGATTAGTTACGATCAAGCTCCCCTATCATCATTCATTTCCTAGAGATGGAGACTTTATTTAAGTGCTGTTGCAGACCGGGGTCTACCTGACGCTTCCCCGCTGACATGTGTTTCCGAAACGTCAGGGTTACGTCGGACCCGGTCTCTTGTGGTAACGTGGGATAACTTCGGGTGTAGGAAACAAAGGCTGACGAGATGGTGATACGAAAAACAAACAGGTTTATGGCACTATTTACACTTATTTTCAGCATAGAGAGGTTAGGAGCCTCACAAACCACGAGCGTGGTGCTTGAACAGTTACATGCTTCAGAGCGACGTCCAACACTCTGCGGCGTCGTTTCAAACCCTGTCGGGCTCCTCCTCTTTGATTGGAACAGCAATCACACACACAAAACACCGCCCACAGGGCATCAGTCAATCTCCCAACGCAATGCTCCTCCGGGCCGAGGTCCACTGAAGAAAGGGTAAATGGGTTCCTTCCCAGAACAAGTTGGCGATTGGGTGGCTGCTGCTGTCTTTCCCTGAAAGGGCAGCCAAGGTAAGCGCGGGCGTTTTTTTTTCTTTGTTTTCTTTTGCATTCGCTCCGGCAGACGCGGTTTTTTTTTTCGCCCCGGCTGACGTGTTTTTTTTTTTCACTCGCCCCGGCTGACGCGGCTTTAAGGAGTAGATATTTTAATTTTGTAAACACGACCTGCGGGGTCGGTCTGCTTTGCCGTCTCGCTGAACAAGCCATCAGGAGGAAATGCTTGTAGGGACGTTGGATCATGGATGGTCTTCTAATCTTTCTGTTGCTCCCGGCAGCTGCACGCTCGTTCCGAGAGAACGGGGGTTCCGGGCGTGTGAACTCTGCTCCACTCTGCTTCTGAGGGACAGCATGGCGCCCATAGGACGCGAGTCACAACAGTGCCCACTACGCCATAATGATTCCTTTTGCGAATCAGCGAAGGGCCCACTGCACATTCGTAGGGCAACATGTCAACCTACGCCGCTGCTCACTTTGTGGATGCTTTTGCTGCCGATAATGATTGAGCCTTTCTGAATGTCTGATAATGGGTAGGCCTTGAAATCACCCACTAGTTGCACAATTCAAATGTTTTGATGCGTGGTGCGATTCTACGATACCGCCACGTAATATTACATGTGCTGAAGAGACTCATTTTGTTACATGACATTTATATAAGGCTCTTTCCGAAGCAATTACAAGCAGTAGCGCGGCTCTGTGGTATAACGCCTCCTTGGAGCGCAGGTGGCTTGGGTTCGATTCTCACTACGAAACGAAAATTTTTATTCTTTATTTTATTTACATTGTTCTTGAATTTTCTGTTGTGGACAAGATAAATTTTCTCTCACAACCTACGACGCCGAAACCAACTCATGAATTTCTTCGAAGTGAGATCTTGAACAGAGAGCTTCAGTTTGGCGTGCGCACGCCACGAGAGAGAGAGGAAGACCGCGCATGCGCTGAACCTAAAAGAGATGCGTACGCTAGATCTCGGAGCTTACGTTGCACCCGCTACGGCTGTCGCGTACCTTGCCGGTGGCTGTCTCGCGAGATATCGACGGCTGCGAGCGTCGACTGCATGGCTGCTGCGAAAAAAAGGCCACGTCCTTAGGCTACTGCAGTTCATTCCTTCGCCTGTACACCAGAATACAGCGAGCTCAGTGCTTGCTGCCATATTGAAAAGCGCGTGGCGCCATCTGTTGCAAGCGTGGCGAAGCAACTCTCTCAACAGCCAGGCGAGCAGACGCTCTGCAAATCAAACGTGAAACTCCACAACTCGTGTCCAGCTGTAAGCATGTTTCGCGCTGTTCCTGTGTTGGAAATTTTTACTGATGTGTGAAACAACGAGGAGACCTTCCTCGACAGTCCGGAATGTCTGCAGCACGTGCATTGCAGACTACGGAAGCAGCTTCATTTGGTACGTACGTAGTATTGCGATTGAAATAAACGCGAATAGCGGAAAGCGTTGCTTTCGACTCATTCAAACTGCAGCGTGCCTTTGCTGTAACAAGGCAGAATTTTTGTTGTAAGCCGGTGTCAACGTAGCGCTAGAATCTGGTTCCGACTTACGCTCATTCACCGCATGTGTATCAATTGCCAGTTCTGCCGGGCACTCGGAACACACACGCGCTGCAAAAGTACCAGCCAGAACAAGATTTTAAAATGCTACGGTGACGCCAGCCGAAAGCACATGTAGATTCGCCTGTACAGTGACAGTCTAGGCATGTCGCAGTTCGACCGAGTCGAAAGTGATGCTTTCCGCGCCGTTCACGCATCGCGATAGTCGGCCGTTACGGTTGTACTAAACATGCACGGTGCATGCATCCACGCGTGAGTCGTAATGCGTATATCATAATATTGCTGCAGCAAATTGCTGATGCAAAGTGGAACAGCTGGAGTCACGCTTCAATAAACACAGGAAGTTTACTTATTCGCACACTTCACAGGTCTCGTAGTTTTTCCTGCTGATTGCGATTATATCTTAAGGCGGCGAAGGTCGGCGTTTTTCGCTGTGGACGGAAATCTGTGCAATCTCAAAACACCACACCGGCACGAATCCCGCGATGAGCTGTGAACTTCGCAGGCAGTGCTCAGCAATCTCTTCCTCTTGCGTTTGTTGTCTTCATATCAGATGACAGCGCAGTGGTACCCAGGCGACATTTTATAAGCAGGAGCATCGTGAACAGGCGCCTTTTGGCATTTTGAACTCTCAGATCAACTGCTTGCCATGCTAGCGAGGTGCGTCTTGGCAGTTGCAAACAAACTATGGCGTCTCTGGGAGCGGGGGTTTACCGCTGAAGGCACCTGGGTTCGAGATAGGAGCACCCAAATTGAAGGTTGTCTACGCTGAAGCGCACTCCACGTTTCGGTTGTTGCTTACGCTAGGCTAACGGTGCGCACGACAGCTTCGGCCGTTACGTACCCCACGCGCCGCGCGTTGTGTCAACAACTAATTGACAGCAGCCTATCGGGGCGTGCGTATCTCCGACGCACAAAGCACTTTCCTTTATTACGAACCCCAAAGAGAAAGTGAAATCATATTTAAGGCTGGAAAGGTTATTGTACAGTTTTTCTTGTGTGAATGCGCACAATGCAAGAAATCTCGCTAGCTTACACAACGTTACACCTGATGTACAAAATGAAGTGAAGTTAGAAATGTCTTTAACCATTTAGAGTAATTGATACTCTGCTATGGGAGAGCGGACAGCTGCCCCAGTCGCAGGATTTCGTGATGAAACTCATGTGTGTTTAGAAAAAGATTGGCAGATCCCACGTACATTGGGAACCGATGGTATGCGAAGCACGAACGAGGAAGGTTGTATGTCACTTTAAAATCAGCACAACATCACGAGGCGGACGTAAATTACGTCCTACATGACTTCCATGTGATAATTATCATGTATGAACCCATCATTTACATTCTTTGTCTATTCACGTCAAGTGATATAAAATTTGGTATATGTGGAGCTAGTGAAACGGCCGCGAGTGCCTCATGAGCTTGGTGTGTTGACCTGTTCTTATATGGCACGCGCGTCATGATTATCATGCTTGCACCAGTCATATACCTTCGTCCTCCGTTGAGATCACGCAACACCAAATTTGTTATATGTGGAGCTAGCGAAATGGCCGCGAGCGCATCACGAAGGACCCAATATACTCCACCCTAACGTTGACGAGCGCGCCCGCTGGGCGCAGCGACGCTGCGCTACCAAAACGGACGCCAGGCGTGACCAGCGTGACCAGCGTCCGTCGGCGCCACCCGGTAGCAACCAGAGCGAAATGCAACACGCTGCCTTTCGCGCTCATGACGTTACCAAGCTCTACCCCGAAAGCCCTGCGTCTGCCTTTCTTCGTGATGGAGGGGCGCCGGGTGCGCTCAACGCGCATGCGTCAAAGCAACGCAGCGTGGCGCGTGCCTGCAAGTATATGGCAGGCAGATCGGCGGCTGGCATGGCATCGCCGGCGTGACGCGACGAAACGAACCGCGGGTCACGTCGAGGTGTATTGGCACCTTGAGCGCGGCATGCAGTCATGCTGTGACATCACACGCCTCTCGTGACTATCTTGTTTGCACCAGCCACATACCTTCGTCATCCATTCACGTGACGTAATACCAAATATGACATATGTGAAACTAACGAAACGGCGGCAGCGCATCCTAAGTGTGGTATGTAGTCATGTTGTTACATGACACGTATTTCATGATTATCATTTTTGCATGTGTCATTTACCTACGTCATCCGTTCGCGTCACGTAACACCAAGTTTGGTACATGTGAAGGTAGTTGAACGACCACGAATGCATCATGAGCGTAGCATGTAGACATATTGTTATATGACACGCATCTCATGATTATCATGCTTGCACCAGTCACATAGAATCGTCATTCATTCGCGTGACGTAATGCCGAATTTGGCATATGTGAAGCTAGTGAGATGGCTGCAGCACATCATGAGTGTGGCATGTAGTCAGGTTGTTACAAGACACGCATGCCACGATTATCATGTTTGGACGTGTCCTTAGCCCGTGTCGTCCGTTCGCGTCACGTAATTCCAAATTTGGTACATGTGAAGGTAGCGGAACAACCACGAACGCATCATGAGCGTAGAATACAGCCATATTATTATATGACACGCATCTCATGATTATCATATTTGCACCAGTCACATACATTCGTCATCCATTCACGTCCCGTAATACCACACGTGGTATATGAGACGCTAGCGAAACTAGCCGCGAGCACATCATGAGCGTGGTATGTATACTATACTCATGTTGTTACATGACACACCTGCACTGATGATTATCATGTTTGCACCAATCACATACCTTCGTCATTCATTCACGTCCCGTAATGCCAAACTTGGTAATGCGAAGCTAGCGAAACAGCTGCGTGCACACCATGAGCGGGGCGTGTTGTCTTGACTAGACATAACATAAAAATAATGACATGCATCTCATGATTTCTACGTTAGGGCTTGTCACTTGGGTTTGCTATGCAGTCATCTGATACCATGCCAAGTTTGCGACATGTCAGGTGAACAAAAGCACCGCAAGAGCAGCAAGACAATGAAATGTAAACATGACTTTTATGACATACTTGTCATGAGTTTCATGTTATGACTAATTACTTTGGCTCGTCATACAGTCTTCTTATGGCATAAGCCAAGTTTGGTATCGATGCCATAATGCAGAAGGGCAGGAGAGCTAAAAGTCGTAAGAGGTAGATAGATAGATAGATAGATAGATAGATAGATAGATAGATAGATAGATAGATAGATAGATAGATAGATAGATAGATAGATAGATAGATAGATAGATAGGTACGCTCAAAGTCGCCGAAGTTCGCTAAGAAATGGTTGGAATTAAAAAAAATGTTCAACGATTTCGAGTATGATGCACTCTACTATGAGAGAGACTTAGCTGTCCCAAGAACATGCATGCCGTTCGGAGACGTGAGGCACGTTCGGAGAAAAAAGTGGTTAATGATTTTGAGTACTTCGTACTAAAGTATGAGAGTGCTGTGGGCCGACCATAAAAAAGGGGTAATGATTTGGTGTACTAGTTACTCTACTAGGGGAGAGCTTAAAGCCGTCCCGTGGTAATATACGTGTGTGTGTAGAAAAAGGTTGTATGTTTAGAAAAAGTGGTTAACGATTTAGAATAGTATAGGTACTCTACTGTGAGAGAGCACGAAGCCATTCCTGAAAGTGTGTTTACAAAAAGTTGTTAACGATTTAGAGTACGAGGTACTCTACTATCAGAGAGCCAAATCCGTCTCATAAGCCTCAAACTTGCCTCAGACCAACCCTTAACTGGTAAGTGTTTAGAAAAAAATTGGCGGAATATCCACGCAGTGAATGATGGAGAGTAGGGGCGAAGCATTCGTCTGTCCATTCGTTCTTACTTTCGTCCGTCCATGCGTCCGTCTGTGTGACCGTCCATGCGTGCATTGGCCCGATCGTGCATGCGTCTGTTCGTGCGTCCGTCTCTGCGTTCGTCCATGCATCCGCCCCTGCGTCCGCTTATGCGTCAATCCATCCATCTGTCTGTGTGTCCATTCGTCCATCTATTCAACACTTCATGTAACATGCAATCTGTTATATAGAGCGAAAAGAACTTATTGGCGTATGCAGTGATGTACAATGCGAAAATTGTACAAAAAGTACAGGATATTCATGACCATCGAGATGTCTGCACTTTAATAAAAAGTAAGGCTATATATATGAACGAGCAAGGGGGGGGGGGGTCATTCACAGTGTAGGGTGATGTTTTTGCATTCACCTGTACGGACAGTTTGCTGTCTCGCTCAAGAACATAGTTGGGCCAAGTGCTATGAACATGTAACTTGTACTTGAACAAACACAACAAAAACGATGTGGCTAGTGAGTGCGAGGAAACTACCAATATGCCCACGACTACACGCTCGCAGCGCTGGTGGAGCCACTGAAAGCACAGTTTTATTTGAGCTATGCTTTTCACAACCGAAGGTATTGCGCAAGCTGCAGGGGAAGTTTGCGTCAAGTCATTAAATTTTCGCTCTATATAAGCGCTACGTGTGGAATGCATCTTCATATGCTTATGC